TTCAATATCCCAGATCTTCACGGTGTAGTCACCCGAGGCCGTGGCCAGCACATTTTCTGCCGCGGGGTTGAAGAGCACGTGGCCAATCTTCCTGCGGGGAGGGGTAAGCATGGGGCGATAACGGGTTTAGTCAAGGATTCGTACTTAGGATGGCCACTCAATTTGCCAATAGGCGCGAGATCCTGGATGTCGTCGGCCTCAACCTCAGGCCGAACGGTGAAGTTCTCCGGAACCCGCCAGAGGAAAACCTGGAATTGGTTAGTCGCAACGCTGATAGCTGTTGTTTATTCGCACTATACCTTGCCGTCATCGGATCCCGACGCAATCAGATCGTCATTGAAAGGGTTCCTGCAGGGTTTCAGTGAGCTGCGACGCGGGGTTCTATATCCGAATTCCTTACCAGTCAGTGTCCAAAACGACGGCAGTGTGGCCTCGACACAATGGGATGCGCTCCGGGAGCTTGCCCCGTTCCTCAAGAGGAATAATCGCAAAAGCTCCGCCACCGCCTGCTTCCCAATTGACCGCAATGTGTTTCGGGTTGACCTAGATGCGCCGTAAGACCGGGTTCGCCAGTGAAACGTCAGGGGTGATGCGGAAGGCAAAACACACACCTTGAGGAGGTTGGTATCCCAGGCGTTTCGGGAGACTCGAAGATTATCGTAGCATTGATCCTGCGAAAGTCAGAATAGGAGATCCGGTGGTATAGGAGGTAGCCTTTACCTTTCTCGTCGATCGCCCGAAGACGTGGCCTGTAAGGGTCAGCGGGGAGGCGCATGTTGGATTATAGAGGTAACTCACGATATTTGGAGGAACGAACAAAACGCCCAGACATGATTACCAAGTGTTCAAACGAAGACGTAGAGCAAACAAAAAAGAAGTAGAGCAAGGAAAAGGAGTAGGTGAAAGAGATGTTGGAGAAGCTCAAGCAACGGGGCTACTGGGGCCGCTGTTTCGGGAATTCGAGTGGAGGTAAAGACGCCCCACGAATCAACTACTAATTTCGGAACAACCTCAAAAAGGAGTCAACAAAGAACAGGATTGGTCGTCTCTAGCCTCGGATAATCTATTCTTTTGTCTGTGCTTGTTTCATTTTGGACATTGAAGCCTTTCATTTTTGGTTTCCGGGTTGATCACGTGCTGTTTTCAAATACTTGCTTGGTAATACGAATACGGTATTGCTGATGCCATTACCTGATATGGACTAGCGTCATACACCTGCCTGAGTCAGCAAATCTTTGTTTACTTCGCATTTCGTCCCTCTAGAAACCGGTTTGCGCTCATTTGATACTCATACTTCCAAAGGTTACTGCCCAGACCATCTATTGGTATGTCACATAACTGCTGGCTTCATCTTAACTTCCGCTGACTTTAAGTCCAAGCGGCCAACACAGACAGTGGCTCGACGTGAGCTCCTCCTACTCGCCCGGATACTCTTTTCGCCGGTAACCTGGCGGTCAACAAATCCCAAGATGGACGGTGAAAACATAGTAAGTACCCCACTGTGGGTTTCAGTTTCATCAGAGTGCCTGCGGATATAACTGACCATCTTCAGACCAGAACCAGGTCGTCTACTCGGACACGCCTACCGCAGGCCGGCCTACGTGAAGCCAGCTCTGCGACAACCAACTCGCGCTCTGGCATCATGGCGCCAGGTACAATCGCAAACAAGGCTATCAGCACGTCGCGTATGGAAGCCCCTGACTCGTTGGCTCAACATGAACTGACAGCACCGGAAGCAACCCGTCCGAAAACCGGAAACCCGGAAATCAAGAGACCTGGATCCGTCACTCGACAGCCTAGCACCACGACCAGGGCGCATAGCCGAGGAAACTCGTACTCGTCTTCAACCATGTCCCGGCCGATTGCACCTGCATCCCGCACAGCCAACGGCTCCTTTTCCTCAACCGTCGGCCCTGGCACGCGCCCAGCATCGGCCATGTCCCGGCATCAATCGTCCTTTATCGGCCGCAGACCCGTCGGCGCATCGATCCCCCGCGCAGCGAGCGCGTTGGATACCCATATGGAAGACGTCTCTCCCAGTGTGCTAGGAAAACGAAAGGGTATGCTACAATTTCCCTTATCTCCCAGCCGTATCCCTTCTTGCCCCGTTGGAACCGTTTCCCCCGGATTGGATGAAGGTTGGAATGGAATTAGTGAATTGGCAGCGCTCCCAGTGTCTGAGAACCCTGTCTCTTTGCCAAAGCCTTCCAATCTAGCAACTATCCCCGTGTTGCCCAGTACCCCATTTCGGAATGTCTCCACTGTTACCACCCCAAAGTCACCCGGATATGCGCATTCATTCTCGTCCTCTTCTTCTTATTTTACCGCTCCCACTGCACCCCCTAGAACACCATCATATTCCCAGCGGCGCATTGTCAAGAAGCCCTCCCACCCCGCATTTTTGACCAAAGGTTCTTCGATCAGAAGTTTTGACAATATCACAGGCCCGGAATGGGATCAAGCTTCTCGCGAAAAGAGTATGGAGGGATTGATGCAGACTTTTATGGCCCAGGTAAATCAACAAGGTCAAGCAAGCTCCGGTCTCAAGGAGACACTTGAGATCTACAAGTCCAGAAGTAAGTTGAGTCTGATAAGGGCTATGTTGAGACGAATCTAATCCTTTCATCTAGTCAACGAGCTCGAAGCCTCTCGGGATGAATTGAAAGAACTCAATATTACCCAGCGGGTGGAGTTAGATTCGCTGCGAAATCATCTAAGTACGGCAGAGCAGGCGCGTAAAGAGGACAAGCGAGAGCATGAAATCGCTATGGATGATCTTTACCAGCGCCAGCGTATTGAATTGGATTCACTCCAGCAACAAAGCAGAAGAGAAGTCGCCACAATCACTGACCGACATCAAGAGGAGGTTCGCGATCTGAAACGACGGTTTGACCGTGAGATTGAAGACGAGAAAGCAGCACGAGTAAGCGCGCTCGGCAAGCTGACTTCCCAATCTGCACTTGACATTCAGAAGTCGCAAATTGAGCTAGAAAGGAAGGACCGCGAAATCACAACATTGAAGGATGGGCTACAGGCCCTGAAGGCAGAGGTCGGCCGCGAACGAAGGATGGTGCAAGAACTCAAACTCAACTTGGATACCACAAGTAGCAACAGTGTTACGCTAGAGTCATCAATACGTGCTCTCAAGGCACGCATCGAGTTCCTTGAAAGTGGACGGGAGGAGCAGTCTAAATCCTTTGAGCGGTGCAATCGGGAGATGATGGATGCATTTGCCGAGACAGAGGCGATAAAAGAGAAGCTGCGCAGGGAAGAGACACTTCGACGCAAACTTCATAACCAGGTGCAAGAGCTCAAAGGCAACATCCGCGTGTTCTGCCGAGTTCGCCCCTCGCTTAAGAGTGAACCTACCTCCGATCTCACTCTTATGCAGTATCCGGATGAAACTGATGATGGAAAGGAGATTAATATTCTTGGTCCCGAAGAGAGGACCAGCCTTGGAACAGTTACCAGGAAGAACAACACTTTCTCGTTTGATCGTGTATTCAATCCATCTACACAGAACGCCGAGGTCTTTGATGAGATTAGCCAGCTTGTTCAGAGCGCCCTGGATGGCTACAATGTTTGCATTTTCTGTTATGGCCAAACTGGTAGTGGCAAGACACACACAATGTCATCGGCCGACGGCATGATCCCTCGTGCTGTTCACCAGATTTACGAGACCGCGCAAGGTCTGGAAGAGAAGGGTTGGCGGTACTCAATGGCAGGTAACTTTGTCGAAGTCTACAACGAAAACCTCAATGATCTGTTGGGCAACCCAGATGAATTGGACAAGAAGAAGCACGAGATTCGCCATGACATGCAGCGGGGCAAAACTACTATCACCGACATTACAACAGTCAATTTGGACTCCCCCGAGATGGTCGAGTCTATTCTTAAGAATGCGGATGCCAACCGCTCGGTAGCAGCGACCAAGGCCAACGAGCGCTCATCGCGGTCCCACTCTGTCTTCATTCTCAAGCTTACCGGCCAGAACCACATCACTGGCGAACGCAGCGAAGGCACCCTGAACCTGGTTGACTTGGCAGGAAGTGAACGTCTGAGCCACAGTGGGGCGACGGGCGAGCGTCTGAAAGAGACTCAAAACATCAACCGTAGTCTCAGCTCTCTGGGCGATGTGATTTCAGCTCTCGGCCAAGGCAAAGAGGGAGGTCACATCCCATACCGGAACAGCAAGGTATGTTTTTTCTACATTTATTTCTTCGCCAGATACTAACTTATCCTCCAGCTCACCTACCTGCTCCAGTTCTCCTTGGGTGGAAACTCCAAAACTCTCATGTTCGTTATGGTCAGCCCTCTCCAGGCTCATATGTCGGAGACCTTGACCAGCTTGAAGTTCGCCACGAAAGTGCACAACACCCACATTGGCACCGCAAAGCGACAGGCGCGTGTTCGTGACACCTGATTATGATGATACCTCTTTTCCTTCCGTGAATATATTTTGTTGGTTTTTTCTATGGGGTAGGGGTCTTTGACGATCCTGTCCTCTACCCTATGGTCTTGGTCGGGTTTTTGATGTTTTTTTCTCCTTTACCAAAGCCCTTGGAGATATTCAGTTCCGCCTTAGCGTGTGATTTACTGTATGGACAATGATACATTTGGTTTAATCAATGCACATTAGCAGGCTCTCAACATTTTATCTGTTTGGTTTACATTCCGAGAGATATGCTAGTCTTCCTTGCAATGAATTTACGGATATCCAATATGGTCTGTTCCCTTTTCTCAATCCAGGGGAAATGGCCACATTCACTGTAGGTAATCAGTCGGGCGCTTGGAATATCCTTTGCTGTCCGTTCCCCTATCCCTATTCCACAGACCATATCATCGCGGCCGAATATGATGAGTGTTTCTGCCTGTACATCCCTCAGTCTCTCCACCATTTGCATTGGATGCAGCAATTTCTTATCACATCGACCCTGGGCTTGGTGGCACCAACCCGACAGCTTCCGATCGCCAATATCACGCAGTAGCTCTGGTACATACTACTTCGGATCAAAGAAGCACAAAGGCCACATGCCTCTCACCGACGCTGTAAATTCCTCGTCGGATTCGGTATGCCGATCCGGCACACTGTCCCAAGCATCCTGGTATCGAGGATCTATGCGCGTCGCTTCGAGCTGCAACAATCTCTTATCCTGAAATCCTACTAGCTGGTGATCGAGGAGAACGAGCTTGCCGACACGACTGGGATACATCTCCGCGTACCCGAGCGCAATTGCCCCGCCGTTGGAGTGGCCCAGTAAAACCGGATATTGCTCGAGATGCAGATGCTGCCGCAGGTCCTCCAAGTCGGACGCAAGATCGGGCATACTGCTCATTTGGGATGCTAGTGGTCGGGATGATCCATCCGTCCCACGAGAATGGAAGAAGATGACAGTATAGCCACTAGTATCTGCAGGACTGGTATGGCCTTCTGGGCTCCACAACCCTTGCAGTCCATTTTGAAGATATTGAGATCCTAAGCCCCAGCCAGGGCATTGAACAACAATGATATTGTGTGGATCTTCCTTTTCGGTGGATGGACGACGGACCACATATTCAAATATCAACTCCTTTGCCGGAACACTAAAGGTGTGGATCCCTGGATCGAGTACAATTCGTATTTACCAGGAGGGCGCCGTTTCCGGCAACCCCCCACGTTGGGTTTAGCGCCCGTGCCGTGCCGCCCTGTTCTAGTTTAGCGTCGCCCCGATCGGGTATGGTGTCTCGAGCTATCCCCCAATGGGAACTGCCGCCAGTTGCCGCCCTCGGGGGCCCTCGTCAACTATAAAGTCTAGACGGTACGTCGCTCGACCACCTCTCTCTCCTTTCCCACGGCCGTACGCTCTTCTCAGCTCGCGAGTGCGGACGCCACTGCTCCGGCCCCCTGCATTTCGGAAATGACCGTTCCCACAAGGATACCTCGCCCCCTTCGCTCCCCACTCATGTCACTGCGAAGTCGCTGGTATCCACCGACTGATTCGATATCCGCCGCATGAGACGCTGATCTTTCCTAGATAGAGGCATGCGATATGGCTCGCGAGGTGTCCTCGCCTGCCTAAATTGGCTGCCCCTAAATGGTCTCCTAGCTATTAAGAGTTGCCTATTTCAGCCCGGTTTAAGCCTCTTGAAGCAATCCTTCCTATTTGGGGGAATCGCATATAGCCTATATCTCATTTCCGGGGCAGGACTATGACCTTTCGATAGGTATGTGGTGTTATCATCTGCTCGGCACAGCGTAACCACCAATGGCAAAAATGCCTCTTGCGTTCCCGGGTCCCTATCATCCGGTGTGGGCCCGAAGGCGCTCCGTTGATTCCCAACAGATGATGACTTGTGAGAAGTCTCTAGAGCGGGCTACGTGATGATTCGTCGAAATGGCCGCGGAATTATCCGGATAGTGGGATAACCATTGGGTTACATTCGTAACTGTAACCAGACGATATATCGCTTACAGGGGACCGCGCTGATTTAGGAACTGAGATAATACGGATTACGGCTCTGTGAGGCTGATGTGGAACTGCTTGCCATAGTTCATAGAAAAGTTAGAGGGATCAATCTAGGGAATTAGTCTACGAAGGCGTCTACATATCCGAACAGTCCGATAGAGCTGCGGAGAATCGGTATACTTGTGCATAAGATAGCAGCCATAGTAATTGACCATGGTCTCTGAGCGAGGCAGATTCCAATAATGGAACTATCTCTTTACTTGTGGGTCCAATTTCTTATGGATCCTAATATAGCTCAGGAGACACGCTACCAATCTCGTAAATCTTAAGTGAGGATGCTGGTATGTGTAACCTCCGAGTGGCGATACGGCAATACGGCGGAGCTACTTAGCATTATTTGGAGAAGTGATTTCAGATACTTTATAAGACGTCCGCGCTCATTTTCCATTTCGCTGATCACTTCTCATTTACCATCTATTGATTTGGCCGCCATATATATCAGCCTTGACAACATTAGCTTCTACTCTCACCCTCCTATAAAGTCCTCCTCGTGTACGCTCCCTACTTCCTGTTAGAGGGCCTATAATACCTCTGTGGCTCCTTAACCCCTTCCCTATGCCCTCCCGCCGAGACTATATTTTGAAGAAACGACCTTCAGCTTAGCATTTGGTACCAGCACTGATATCTCTCTGGAATCCCGAGATACCCTAAAGGAAAATTTGGATTTACGTGCAGGCAATGAATTTGATATCGAAATAGAGAGAGCTATAACACAAAACGGCCAGGAAACGCATAATATAGACTTAGACATACACCTCGACTCAGGGCTCCGAAACGAATGTTATACCGACATGCCTGAAAGCAATCATATATACTTAGTAACTGGTATATCAGAATCATTACTGAACCGCGATAAGTAAGCGTAGCTAATATTATCCACTAGATCATCCAGACCGATGCCCTTTAGGAGAGTCTCTTAGTAACTTAGATACAGCTTTGATCCCGACAGAACCCCAGTCGCATCATACTGGTAGGCGCGACTATTATCTTTCTATTTAACTTATCTTACTAACTCATATAAGACACGCCCGTTACCCTAACCGTTGCCCCAACCGACTTGCTAAGATGGTACCGAGATAGTATCTTATCGCTAGGAATTTATGATAAGAATGATAAGTGCCCTACTCTACCCGAAGTCAGCTTGGCTTACCCGCGTGTCTTACCATTACCTCCGATAGATATACCAGTATGGCCTAGCATTAAAACCGTTATTTAAGATAAATCCGTCGTAGATAACACCACGTCTGGGTTAGAAAACCATGGAGATCAGACAAGTGTTATAAGGGATAGGGTGATAATATAAATTGTCTAGGTAAATAAACCCTCAATCAGTAAGGCTATTTCGGGTAAGGATATAAGAGGCAGACTTACCGAGAGTTAAGCGCGTGCCTTCTCCCGTCTTAGACCTCAAACTCGCTCGGTCAACCAATCACAAGCCACACTGGCAAACTCTCCATCCCTTCGTATATAACAAAAGGCAAAGTCCGCCCGGCAAGAGCAATTTCCTGCCGTTTCCGTTATCATCCCTACCCATCGAAACGATAAAGTGGATATAAGGGCCAAGAAGAAATCTCTAACCAGAATACAACGGTATAGTCGCTCGAGCGACAGCGATAATAACAGTGACAACCTCGAGAAAGATCGAGTAACACGGGCGTCGATAAGCAATTATTCACTATCAGGTAGACCTAACTCGAAGGCAAGGGGGCGCCCAGTGAAAACGTCGAAGAGGGCAAAGGGAAACGTCTTAGCCCCGAGCAATGATATCGTCGGAAAATGCCCTGATCAGTCCCAAACGCCCTCAGGGGGTGGTTTGGCTATCTCGTTAGATCATTCTCTTACTCAAGAGATTTTCGGTCGCGGGGTTCTCCATATCCAAACTCAAGGTCCTCGACAGGCCTATTTCATAACGTTCCTTCCAGAGGTTTCTCATGGCTCCTCTATGCCGTCACCGTCTAAAATGCCTCCTGAACAGTCTTCACAACAGCCTTTACAACAGCCTTCACACTTTAAAGATTTTTCTCAGAACGCATCCTCGCGACAGGTGGGACGCAGAAAAGGCCATAAGCGAAATATATCTACAGCCTGTGGGGATGGAGACGGGCGGTCGACCAAGCTGCCACAACACTCGCCGTCTCGTGATGGTCGCAAAGAAGCCCAGCGAAAGTGCAGGAGGCGCTTGCGGTGGTCTTTAGAAGAGGTGAATTTTTTGCTGGAGTTAAGAAGAGACGAGCAACGACCATGGTCGGAGGTGACGGGCTTATTTTTGGACCGATATCCGGGAAGAAGTCCTGCTGCGATCCAAGTATACTGGAGTACGTGTGGGCGTCGAGAAAGCAAAACTAAGAGCACGCCAACTACCGTCTAAAACAAAGAATATGTTTCAGGTCTCCAGTACACTGACCCTCAGTGAGGGTTGGCAACTATGAAAATCCTTGCTGGGCTTACTGTACGGCCGCAGTGAGGACAGATGACGAAAATGAGTCACTCAATACTTTGCCCAGAACGGGCTTCTGAGGTATCTGTGGGTGCTCGCAATGTATTTTGAAATAAATCCTCTTGACTCAGGAGCCAAGTACTTCAGGTGCATTTCCAGCGCCATGCTGGTGATCTCCACTCGACTGTGACAGGGCCTCTGATAAGTGGGCGGTATAGAGCAATCTAATTTTCGATATATATCGCACTGGTCTTTGCTAAATAACGGTAATTTCTGTGGCCTTTGTCTTTGGTTGGTGTCAAGGGAGATAGATGTATATAATTTTACTGCTTATTAGGAGCAACGAGGAGCAAGAAAGTAAGTCCACAAATAGAACCTTCTCAGGGCATCCGCTTTCACCATCTCGGCCACCGCGGCCACTTTGGCTCGTGTCACTACAAGATCCTCTCGTAGGCTCATAAGCACAGTATTCGAGCCATCATCCATCGCAGCAGCCGTCAAATTTTTGATTGAATTTCTGAGTTTTCAAGACGTTGTGGATCAATACCTATGGCACGATGGTTTGGTCAACGACAACATTCTGGTTTCGGCGCAACACAACATTGAAATGGTCGTGGCATTAAGTTGCCGCTCCCGTGCCGTGACCTGAAGGCCTGATGAATTCCCACTCTACTAGGTGCGCCGTTTCAGATGTTCACCCACGAACATGGGTGGAGAGAGCAACGTGCAAAAACGGCTTCCGTGCTTAACTGGAGTGATTGAACTAGACCTACAACACGATATACATGCTTTATCCTGCAAAAGGGTAGCATCCGACATATCCCGTGACCGCTGCTCGACAGATAGGACACTTCTTTAGTGTCTCAAAATTTCCCGCACATAACTCGCAGACCATGTGCCCACATAGAATCGTCACCCAGCGATCTGGCTGCATGTAGCAGATCCCGCACTCTAAAACACGCCTTTCTCTTTGCTGGGAAAGTTCCTCTTGCGTCTTTTGGTGCCTCTCCCTCTCCTTGCGAAGTTCATCTTGAAGCATGCGATTTTTCTCTTGTAGCCGTTGCTTTTTATGGCTAACCGCCTTTCGGAGCTCCTCAAAAGCGTTGTCCTAGTCCATTGTTAGTTAAGAAGGAAGAAGGTCTTGTGAGGAACTGGTACCAAAGCAGACGACTCCTTCATTTCAGTTCTTTTGCGTTTGCGTGATGGTGTCGTATCCGTCTCATTATCGACTGCTTCAACGATCATGCTCTCGAAATCCCGGTAACTGTAATCACGGCGAGGGGCCCTCTAAGGTCGTGAGCTGCCTGGCTCGAGGCTTAGCAATTCCTCGTCATCGGCTATAATAATCGCGTTAGAATGGCTTGCCATCGTGATCTTAGTCGCCACGCTCAGGGAGGAAGGTCGATACAAGCCGGCCTGGGAAGAGGAAAAGAGAATATCAGAGTACGCAACCAGCTGGGGGAAGGAGGCCCTTTATATACCTGAGAACCAGCGGTGACGGACTCAGCCCCGGCAGGTAATTGGACACTGGTGCGATTGCAATATTCCAAGCTGCATTGCACGATTGGACGTTAAGACGTGAGAGTGTGAGACTAGACTATAGCGTTTCATGCGCTGCCCCGACGAGGCAGACAGACTATAGCTCCCCAGAAACCTGGGCGACCCGATGCTGACGTGGGTCAAGGAGATGGCATTGTGAGAATATCTGAGTGACCACAGCGGCGACGAGGTAGGCGGCATAAAACTCAAACGTGTCGCCTTCCTGATTGATGACATCGCGAGCCAGATCCATCTGGTGTAGACCCGCCACCAATTGGGGGATTGTCACCTTGTGCGGCGCTTTGAACTCCACTGCATACACTGGTATTTGTCGTTCATCAGTCACAAAGGACGCCGTCGTGACACTCGGCGACAACCTGGAAGTCGTCGAATCCCGACAGATCTAGGTTGGCTCCGCAATAATTATGGTAATTGCGGGGCATGGGAGTCCAGAGACCATAAAGGTTCTGCGAAATTATTCTCATGGCTCGAGAGGATCGAAGCCACAGTTCAGCATGTGTTCATTGTCAAAGGGCCACCAAGGCTGTTAGATTAGAGACTAAAATCCCAGGCGATTATAAGAAACATATTCGAAGGCTGATGACATACAACAAAAGTCTGAAGCCTACTTATATAAGACTACGTACTTGGGCTCGGTGACACCGACCCGAAGGCGGTAGACACAGAGCCGGAGACCCAGCAGATTCTAAGACCGCGGTCTCAAGACCTGCCAGGCCATCAGACCGCCCACTAGCGTCCCCTACGACTTCAAGGCCAGCACAGCCGTGAGTTTCAGATCTAAAGACGCCTGATGACTCAAGACTCTAAGAAATTGACTACGATATTCCATCATCATCAGCAGCAGCAGCAGCAGCAGCAGCTGTTGTTGCTCTTCTCTGGGCGTCCGCTTTCACCATCTCGGCCACCGCGGCCACTTTGGCCCGTGTCACTACAAGATCCTGTCGTAGGCTCATAAGCACAGTATTCGAACCATCATCCATCGCGGCTCGGACACATTGCGCAGCGCTGACTAGGCGCAAGTTCTTGTTGTAAAACCGCGCATGTTTGTTGTCCTTGCGAGCGTACTTGTGGGCTATACGGTGTGCTTCCGATGGGTCTTTCGGATTAACCGGCACTTGGTCCGTCACGTGCCATCCTCTATACTCATAAGCTTTGAAAGTAATGGTTATTGCGTCGGGAGGAGGGTTTCGGTGGGGGCGGAGTGCTTCCGGCAGAGGTAAAACGAATTCACTTACACTTGGACCTAAGGCAGGAGCCTCTTGCGAGTCGCCCTTATATTCGCGTTATTTCTTTTTGTTGGTCTCTCCATCATATTCTGTGGGCTTCTGAGGCTTAGGGGATGATGGTGCTATATCATGATGGTTTATTGGAAGGTTTATCTATTCTTGTTGGCTGGGACCGCCCTCTTCCGTGGTTCCTGCCCTAATCTGGAGCGCTGCCGGCCGAGGTGGGACCGTAGATTTACCTATACCTACAGCCTGACCCATTTTTGGTGATTCAGCCTGCTCTTGTTGGTCGGATCCATTTTCTCCCACGTTTACTGCTGTATCCAGCAGAGCTAGTCAGGTAATAGATAGAGCAACCTCGTGCTCTTTTCATTGTATGTCAAACAAAGAACGTGAGCAAACAAAGAAACTAGTTTTTGTGCACAAAAACGTATCCAAGGTAGCTTAGACGGTGCTCTAGTAGACGGGTTTTTGTGCACAAAAACGTATCCAAGGTAGCTTAGACGGTGCTCTAGTAGACGGGTTTTTGTGCACAAAAACGTATCCAAGGCAGCTTAGACGGTACTCTAGTAGACGGGTTTTTGTGCACAAAAACGTATCAAAATGGGTCTTACGGCGCTTATCACTCTCAACTTCATAGCCATCAAGTTTAAGCGCTCTGGTAGACGATTGATTGAATAGAAAGACATGCGACCGAGGGCATGTTGACATACACTAGGACAATGCGCCCATAATTGGTAGTTACAACTCCAGATTCTCAGCTAAGCCCAGAGAGTGGATTTCCCTGCGCCAATCAAATTGCTAGCGGTAAATTACCGCTCCAAGTCTCTGACAAAGATCAAAACCCGAAAATAACGTGCTAGGTTTTCTCCGCGTGGCCATTGTTTGAGGGCTCCTAAGGAACTCATTCATTTTGCCAAGTTCCCCTTACATTGTCGTTAGGTCCTAGCGCGCTATATCTATCGGAGGTGGGCAATTCTCGCGCTGGGATTGTCTGAACAACTCAAAGGCAAGTAAAACCATGTCCCTTTTGGCCAGAAGTATAGCGAATGGACGCTGCGGAGTGGCTTACTCGTATAGAGCAGCGCCGCGAACTTCTTCCTCAGTGAACCAGCAATGATCGAGATGCTCATCACTGATCTTGACGGAACTTTGGCCGACCGGCTCTTGCATCTCGCTGGACCAGACTCGTTGCGCTATCGTCTCTTCGTTGTCGATTATGATGAAACCGAGCATGCGCATGATGACTATATCGCTGGTCAATCTATCTCTGTGATAGAAAGAACATGTGAAAGCATTGCCAGCAATTCTCGAAGGCCAAATTTGCGTCTCCTCGCCGCTCTCTCGGGCTGCGGAATGGATGATAGTCGGGTCCCCCTCGTCTGGAGTTCCTCCTCCTGGCTCCCAGGTATTACCCCATGAGCTTTCCTTGCCGTTTCGCTTAATTAATAAGACTCTTCGCTTGGATGGGCTATCTGGGTAGTAGGAAAATATGACAGCCATAGCTGTGAAACGTTGAATGCCGGGAAATAGTCCTTTCAGACGATGGAGAGGAATGTTGACAACGGCTGCATTGATCGGCTCGGGAATGGAGTGGTACCCCAAAAGGGAACCGGCGTTGTTTACTCCAGTCGACATAGCTGAGTATAGGTAAAAAAGAATTTAGATATTGGAGGGAGGTCATGCCACTTATATATTGCCACTCAAGTCTCTTCCAACCCGCAGTTTGATCGATATATAATATTAGGTACAATAAATTAGGTACAATAAATTAAGCAGTCTTCACACCGCTTCTCTATCTGGAAGCCGTTTTTCGGCCGAAAAGCCTCTTCGTTCTGCCGGGGCTCAATGGCTTACCGCCTTGAACCGGCTTCCCCACGGCCCGTCCGTGTAGCATGTGTAACTTAACATGTGGGGTTACCGACGATTGGTAAATAGCATGTCCATAACACCTAACTATATCGAGAACTACCCATCAACAATGAGAAACAGGCTGACACCTTTGCTGCCTGACAGTTAAAGCATCAGCTATACAATACGAAGCATTTTCTCTTTCATTACGCGCTTTATTTTCGTTTTGTTTTCTAACAAAAATCCCAATTCACCAGTTCTTCTTTTCATGTAGAGCCAGAACAATCTCGCACATGCTGGTCTCCTATGTACCCACTATTCACAGCGTGTACCCACTATTCACAGCGAATCACTTCACGATGTCCATCATGATATATCACCTAGATGAGCATGCCTGGGTCATTGACGTATTATAATAGTATATTATGCTATAGAGAAGTGCCGGGACTATTTCACCCTAGTCAATAGGGGATAACTAGGAGACTTGGATATCAAGAAGCCATTAAAAATTAACGCGCCTAAGAATAAAGCGAAATCAGAAGGGGATGTACTGGAAGCTTAGTAAACTGACTAAGACTAGAGCACCATATTCAAGGATGATATCTTTTCCAATATATGATTGACCATTTAGGAAATCGGTATATCTCGCTCCCCATCAATAATCCTGCCTTTAACAAGTCGAAAGTTTGGAGGGATATAAGGAAGCACAATGATGTCGCTATCCGTATTGCCTTCTGATTGCATAGAGTCCGTTTGAGGTCTGTTTTCTGAAAGTTTGCAGAGTGAGAAGGCATTATCAAAAGTTTCGCGCTTTGCAGGAAAAACTCACTATAACAGTCTCTGACTAGACTAATTTGCGACGATTCTGCCTTCTCCGTTTGCTTTGGATTGGAAACTGGTAGAGGCCTTCCAAACCCCAAAACCCCATGTCTTCCCAGTCCTGCACAAATTGTTGAATCCACTTCCATAACTTGGGAGAAGCGACAAACATATCTTTCCGAAGTCTGGGCGGATGCTTGACGGTAAACCGTGTTTTCCATTCGGACATGAGTGTCAGCTTCTTAGCTATTGTCTCTCTGAGATCCTTGTTTCGAAAATAATCTTTTTCATCCTTTTGAATTTTCGAAAGTGGCTGATCCTCCTGTTGAACTTCGTTATAAAGCCGGATGTAGTGAGGCGAACTCCACTGTCGCAGGAAGTAATAGCCCAGGTCCTGTTCAGGCCCATGGGCAAAGTGCCAGACTGTAGCAAAGAGGGTGTAGTCACTAACTGAGTCCAAATTGAGGAGTCGGCTCAATCTCCAGGAGACTTGGCTCCGCTCCAGGGAATCGTGATATCTGTGGATCGCCCTCTCTTCCATCGATCTAGGCATAGCAGAGATGAAGCCATCTATAAAAGGCATACATAACTCCGAACTAATTTCGTCACGGTATTGTGGCAATCCTGGTGTGGTTAAAAGCATTGATTCAGGAATGGAGGAAGCGAATGCCCAGTCGATGATACAGGTGATATTATAATCATCATCAACATATATGTTATTGACACTCAGGTCAGGGTGGCATAACGGAAAAGTCTCCGAATTGACAGTTGGGAGTTCAAGTTTCCGTATAATATCGCGGAGAGCGTCGCCTGCGATGATATAATCCAGTCTGTTGTCTGACGAGTCGGTCTTGCCTCCAACGGCCACAAAGTCGTTCCATAGGTTCACAGCGCTCTCATATTGTATGCTAGATTGATAGTCGTCCCGCGAAGGAACGGGTGCTATAAAGCAATGATGTGACAACTGCAGAATTTCTGCATGCTCTAAGAACGCAGAAACAAGGCTATCATAGAACTTTGCCTCAGAAGTAAAAGGCCCTCGTGGGATCTCCAAAGAATATCGTCCATGTAACATATGACCACGTGAGAGACATTCCTTGATTTCGAAGAATTCATCTTCAAAGAGTGAGCCTATTTTATCGAATCGCAACCGCGAAAGCTTCCAGGCAATACCGCCTAACTGGGAGAGAATTTTGGCTTTGCTGGGAGTCTCTAGGTCAGGTTGAGGAGAACCGGCTGATCTCCAAAATTTTGATAGTGGCCTGCCAGGCGCCTCACTCATAAAAATGAACGGAATACCGATGTCATTATCGGACGAAGCACTGTGATAGATTAGGACTAGAACATTACGGTCTGGGAGATTTCGTTACCAATAGTCGTATACTTCTGGAACTGGAATATCGCTATGAGCCCTGAGGTATCGGAGCGTGGCAGCTTCACTTGCCAGTAGCTTTATTCCCATTTCCATTGGCATAAACGTTCTAGGGTGTGGAGATCTAAAGACCCATCGTACCCTATCTTCAAACGAAATAAAGATAGCCCAGTTGAAACTTCCCGAGGCAGGACGTTGATCCGGGTCACAAGCACATGAAACACCTTGCCGCAGCGTGCTCGCTTGACGGCACAGAGCTTGAAGGTCAAAATCGGCGTAAGTGAATATGTCGGGTTTCGGATTTGGGGACATTTCGCTGGAAGAAATTCGGGAAGGGAAGTAAAATGAGGTCAAAAAGGATGCAGGTCCGTTGCGCTTACAGGTCGAAAGAGTTCCAGGGATAGATGGTTTAGTTCCGCTTTAAATGATCTACCCTTAAAAGCGGTGAGAGCCAGCTTTTTCGGAAACAAACATAATAAATCCACAAGAGAATTGCTGATCTAGAAAGTCCTCAAAGTTACAATTTCAGTACGTCCCAACCCCGAAATTTGTGAGGGGTTGAAAATATGTGACCCGCACGTCAGACGTCTTCAAGTTGTTTTCCATTTAGGGCGTTATAGCGACATATTTTTGCTTAGTAGCATACCGACCGATAAGATTGAGTGGATAGCAGGGAGGGAGGGGTAATATACTAGAAAGCGCAAGTTAGTGGCTTATCTTACTCTTCGGTTCAGTTAGAGAAAGCACTATCAATACAGCTAGTGCACGCCGAGTAATATAGGAGAATTCTTCAAGCCAGATATTGCATATTCGTGTTAGTGAAGGCTTGGTCTTATTTAAACAACGACATGGACACATCATTCATCTTAACCAGGTTATCGAAATTCATAAAATGGATTCCGAGCTGATATTTCAACTAACTACGTCGACAATAGCATCAATTTGCTGCGGAGCAAGTCTTGCTTTCTGGCTCCTATCGATTAAGGCTATAAGCTTGCGAAGACTAAGCAAGGAACCACTCATCTCTAGTTAAGCTATTATAGGTGGTTTCGTCTTCCTAGGATCAATCGCCTCCATTCTGCTAGCGTTTTTGCAAGTAAACCTAAAGGACGGTAGGTTGCTCACTTCGCTAAACCCAACTTCTTCTCTAACCGTATATTAGATCAGTCTTAGCTAGTACTACAGTAGGAAATCGGCAGTGTACTTCTTTTACTCATTTTAAATGAGGTGAGTTTAGTGAAATAGAAGGAGAGACACTAATCTCTACTAGTATCTATGTGTTTCTACTTTGCAACCCTAGATAACCTATATGATATCTGCCTTGCTATTTATGGGAACAATTGCCATTCTATCACTTTCTATTTACCTGTCGGTGCGCTTCAACTAGTCGCTCTGCCTTCTATGTGTGCTTTATTGACCAAAAAAAGTAGGAGAACCGCAACACTTTATTTTCTTCATTTATGATCGTCGCTTTAGCTAGTCTCAGCTTCGTTCATGCCCAAATAATTAGGGCCTGGGTCATATGCATGAGGCCATGGCATATGCAAACAAGTACTTTCAAATTATTTTGGCAGTATCCGCGCCTCACAGCTGCCAGGCACCAACGAGCCTTATGGGTGGCGTCTATTGGCTCAATAGGGTTGTTTCTTGTTTCATTAGGCTTAACTACTCTTGCCTGTTTACAAACCAACCTGCAGACGCAAATTGTGACGGTACGTACCGTGACTAAACTGCCGTCATACACTACTCACGCGCTATATAGCTCCAAATTGCCATAATAAGCCTAAGGAAGGCGGTCGTTTCATTTTACCTTTTCCGCGCTCCCGAAAACACCATGGATATGTTACTTTCAAATGAGCATGTCCAACAATAAGAACAGAGTACAATGAATGCAACATGAGGAAATCGGGGAGTTGTGTAACGTAATTACAGATAAACTCCGTGAAAGTATAGAGATGAAGCACTTCGCTACTAGACAGATGTTGTCAACTGCTTCATTATCGCGCTGCTCGTGCTCGTATTCCCCGTGCGCGGCATCCGTATGGAAAGTCTCTCGTCTATATTCTCGCTGGATACGGCAAATGTGATTCCATTCCAAATTAGAAGTAAACGGATACCGAGTCAATGGCTTCGTTGATTCATGGCCGGCCTATTCTTGTTTTTGAAGTTCCTACATCGGATCCGGGCAACGCCAGCGACTCCGCACATGATGCACATCAAAAGCATGGCGCTGGAACGCCATTTGATACAGTAAGGCTACTTCACACCAGTTGCACTTAAGTGGCTTTTCTTTTAGATGAATAGCATCAAAGTGGCGCGTAACACACCCGGGATCATGAAACATCTGAAAGCGAACCTTGTCCGGAAGCCCTTCACTTACGAAGCATTGAAAGCATGCCTCTGGCTGCTTAGCAGTTTCAAGGTATTCCCTAGTGGTATATAACGGCTTGCCACGTACAGGGGCAGGTACCTTGCATGAGTCGATATCACATCGGGTCTACTGTAAATCCTTCGGCTGAGCTATCGGTCCAGTCGGCGAAGTAGATTCAGGAGCTTTCTGTTTAGGCCGGCCCCTCAATAGGCCTCCTTCAAGGACGTTACAATACTGGACAACCGCTGCAGTACCCGTATCGCGCCGATGCCACTCATCCTCCAACGAGTTAGAAATAGGGTACGAAAGAAGACTCTGCACGAGATATAACTGAAGGGGGTGCATAGTGTCCTCCAGGGAGGGTTTGTCTTCATTCTCTTCCTTGACCGCGGCACCCGATAGCTATGCCTCGATATCCAAAAAGGCTTGCTCTTCATCAAATTTCTCTCGGATCTGGTGCCGTAAGCTCCGGTGTAGCCTTTTCCGCGTATTTCTTACCTCCTTCTCCTGTTGCTGGAGTCGGAGAAGCAGGCCGGGTTACTGGGTCTCTTTGTATTGCGCGCGTATCTTGCCTAGATTGCGCCGGGCCTCTTCTAACTCGGGATGATCTTTAACTTGCGCCCTTTGTTAATGAGTTAGGTAGCGTGGGCGTCGCGTGTCTTGCTAACGGCTTTGCTGGGTGACGGCTCGCATCAGTTCCATATCTGGGTCGAGGCCACAGATAACTCGGATCATGTCGGTGTCGAGTTGTAAGGGATGATAGTGGTTGAGAAAGGTGCGGGGGCTAGTATGCTTTATGATCAACATATGTTGCTCCTTGCTTACCCACCCTATGGACTATATTAGCCACCAACTTGATAGGACAAATCAAATTCACAGCATCTAAAGAAGAACTCACTGCTCTCGTTAATCACTTTACTACTTCTATACCGGAACTGATGGGCATGAAATACCCCTTTCTACCCGTGAATCTCGCTAAATGTGACTAGTAAGGTGGAAATTGTAGACTTAGGTATCTGTATTGTCCGTTGAATGGTTGGAACGCCCTTAACTAACTCCGTTTTGCAAAAGATATACCATTCAGACTTTTTCGGATCTAAAGGCACTAGGAGCTGCTCACAGCCTTTGCTGATAAAAAGTTTCTGTAGCTAAGCCTTTGAGGTCAGCCCTTAATTCCGGAACGCTTGCGCGTGAAATAGGATGCTAAAAAGCAATGTGTATAGGCATATTACTAAAGACGGCCCGTAAACGATCTCGGGAAGTACAAAAGTAGTTCTATTAATAGGTTAGCTGTATCACCCTAGTCAGAAATTCCGGAGATAATAAGAAGGATCTCAAGAGATATTATATATCCAGAGGTAGATAGGGAATTGAGAGAGGGAGAGACAGAAATTGCGCTCGCCGTACAATTTGGTTAGACTGAGGAATTTTTTAGTTCCCTCGGGAGTAAGTTCGATCATAGGGACGGGTGGGCCCCCACGAGGATCCTTCTAGAGGGAGATCTGCAAATCTTTGAACTGCAGACTCAATAGGGCGCTTTTCTAGTGTACCGTAAAGATACCGAGGGAGTTGAACAGATATACTTGGATATGTTAGAAGCCTAGATGAACCTTTTCTCCTGTGTCGATAAAATCGTTTCATTAAATGGGCCAATATCCTCGATATAAACCGGCGTCTTCTTTCCAGGCTGTGTGTTTAAACCAAAAACTTAGACCAAGTACTTCATACCCTATAATCCACGGTAAGCTAAGGTAATTAAGCTGAATTGGGATACATTCGAGGTAAACTGACCCTGCGTATCTCTGAGCTATCTTCATCGTTGATTATAACCTTGGTAAGCTTCTGATAGTAACAGCGAAGGTTTTTCCAGTCGGTCTCGAATGTGCTAGCTTTATTGATGCCTTTAATATATCGACCGTCCTTGCCTCGTTCGAGCAGAAGACACCAGCGCAGGAACCGATACATGTCATTATTCGACGCCTGGCGTAGCGCCTCCTCGGCATCACGCCATTTTGGCTCGTTAGGCCTGTTTTGCACTTTGCTGGCACAGTACCTATGCCTGCATTAGGAGAGTATGAAACGATATGTTCATAATGGTTCACTTACCTTTTCCACCGGTCCTCAATCCGCTCACGTCGTTCAATGGTACCTGGTGCTTTGTCGAAATCCTCGGGGATCTCGGAGAGATCAACTCCGCCTTCATCTAGTGGATCATCGTAGATTTCTCTAGCGTCAAAAAAGATCTCTGGCTCCAGGTCAAGGCTCTCGTCCGGTCGGAAACGTTTTCGTGAGCTGGGCGCGTCCTCCAGCTCCGTTGGATCTGTCTTATACGTAGTATCGCCCTGCTCTGAGTCGCTCGTAGGAGTCGCACTTATATTATCCTCGCCACAGTCGCTTTCCAGCTTTCTATTCCGCTGGCGTCGAGAACGCTTCATCGTTAAAGTCGGCGGAAGTGAAGGGACGGCGAGGGTACAAATGAGGCAGAGAAATGAGACTACAAGACTGCGATATGACGAAGTGGCTGGCAGCTCACGAGTAGATCGGTCCACGACTGGTTCCAGGGAAGACGCATCCAGAAAATGGCGAGCGGAAACGACAAAAAGAGGAAGCACGAAGAATAGAAGAGAACAGGCCACAGTGAGAGGCGAGGGGCAGAGAAGCGCTCGCTGTCGAGGGAGCGGGAAAGCTGGGGAACCGAAGAGAATAGAAGGAAGAGAAGGGGCCGCGGTGGGCAGGCACCATCGTGACTAGATACTTTGACAATGGAGCCATTTTCAGTGCCCTCACGTAACGCCGAGCCAACACTGACCTTCGCTGAGGATACAGTAACCGAACTTGCCAGGGGAAACGGGGGGTGGAGGGGGCTTGCGAGTGGGGGCTTGCGAGTGGGGTCTGACTGGTGCGTGGTGGTAGCCGGTCCGGGGGCGTGTCGGGACGGCGCCATCACGTGTTACCAGATGGCGGCCGAAAATGGCGTTACTCGAGGCCGAAAATGGCGGCCATTTGGTAAACCCAAGTTGTTGTAGAGTACTTCCGACATTTGGAAAGAGTCTAAGATGTAGTATCAATATCTGATAGCTATGGTAGGTCGAACATACAATCGAAACCAACTTTTATTTCGTGCAGCAACAAACTGTGACGTCATTCGGAATAGCACGACTACATAATGTTGTAAAAGCAGAAGTAAACTGGAATCAATTTCCACTCAAAGTTGACCAAAGTATCTGTCCGCCTTTTGCTTTACTTGTTGAGCCTTCTCTTGAATAGCAGTGGCGTCCAAAGTCCCCTCTTCACAGATATACGCTTCGATGAGTTCAGCCGGAACCCATTCGAAGTAAATATTCTTAACTTCAACTGTGTAGTTTGTGTTATCTCGATCAGCATCAATTCCCTCAGCAATAGCATTAAGTCCTTTGATGCCATGTTCCACCCAGCAGCCCACCAGCTCTTTCGGATCATTCTCTTCCTGGCTCCGATTGCTCTCGGCGTCAGGCTCGGCCACTTTCTCTAGCTCACTGAGAACCAAGACTTTGGCGGCAGGACAAACATGCTTGGCACTCAGAACAGCTGGCAAAGATCCAGTTTTATTGCTCACTGAGCCTGAATCCGAGATCCGATCTGCCCCTAGCAGGATGAAATCTACGTCCTTGCTGGCAAGAGCGGCGGATGCATCGGTGTACACAGTTAATTTGAGATGCCGATCGGAAGATGAGGGAAATCTCGTTTTGAAGGCAGAGAGGATGGAAGATGCCATATTGACCCCCTCGCAAAACGGACGAGATTCCAGTATGCGAAGATCTAGATTAGGAATTGGAAGAGACGCGAAGGCTTCTATGATGCTGTCCCGGATGGTAGAGCTCGACGAGAGGGTGAGAATAACGAGAGAGGGCGTAGGCCTCGAGCGTGTTGTAGACAAGAACTTGGATTCAAGATAGGTCGCAAAGGAGTGCTTGATGCGCATGGGCATCTCCTTGCGCTTGTCCAAATGCTGGTCGATCAAAGCCAACAAGCGTTCCCATTTGACCGTGGAGTCGAGATTCTCATGTATGATAACTTCCATGTCGGCCAGCAATCCGAGAAATGCATTCAAGGTGGCTGCCCCCATGCTTTCTCGTCCATTTTTCCACAGATGCCATGCAGCCATGCGAGCATTCTCCCACCACTTCGTGTCAATCTCCTCGTGCATCTGCGCAATAACATCTCGGTAGGCCCGCAGCGCAATCGAGGTCAGCTCGTGCGATCCGCTCTGATGATCTGCCTTTAGCTGTTTCAGGCCAGTTACCAGTGCCTTGCTAGCGCCATCATTCATGTCAACTTCGAACCAGACTCGTCGAAAGCTTTCTTTCAGATGTGGTACGCCACCAAATTTGTCATCGTCTTGGATTGCGTCGGGACTATACCACTGCCAGCCTTCATGCTCCCAGTCAATTTGAAGACCCGCCTCGCCGCGGCCACCTTCACTGCAGTCTTTGAGTCGGTATAGGAACGGGAAAATGGTCCATTGTCGACCGACAGAGGGATCACTGAATGTGAATGCCTTTCCCTGTCGCCAAAGCTCCATATCTCGTGAGGTGAGAGTAGTCTCCTCTCTCAACTCCCTCCATGCTGCTGCTAGTGGACTTTCGGGACTTTCTATACTGCCCGAGATGGGAGCGAGGTGGTGCCTAGAGAAATCAGTTTATCTGGACTACAGTAATTTATAGTAAAGCGGGACTTGAGGATACATACTGATATGTGCTGACTTTATCGCTTCGCCGAAAAATGGCAATTTTGGGTTCTCCTGCATTTGAGCAGATGAAAGAGGATACCACTGATCTTGGCTTGAAAGATTTCATCTTGCTGTTTGGGTATAGGATGTTCGAAGTATCAGATGTTTGAGATATAAGTTTTTTAAGGTATTAGATCTGTGGAAGAAAGGTTGATAAAGATAAGCTCAAAGCTTCGCCCCGGATATCAACGCCGTCATCATCACATCATCACTTTGGTAGCCAATTCTATTATTATTTTGACAGCTCACTAGGATAAACAGCTTTGGCTGTTCTAGATGTCTTCTCTCCCTTTTTAAGTTTTCTAAGCTCATCACCATCATCATACCAGAAATCAGATGGTGTGACCTCCAAAGCTAGTGACGTCATCGTGAAATATCATACGAATATCGGAGTGATCCAAAGCTTCAACATGCCTACTCTCACAGGGTCTTGTATTTGCCGGAATATCGAGTATGAGCTGAAGCTCAATTCGATTGATGATGCGAGAACATCTCTCTGCCATTGCTGGAACTGCAAGGTATACACTTCGAATCTAACGGGGATATCATTTCACCAAAGCTGAAATCATTGAACAGAAGGCTTTTGGAACTAATTATGGCCTGACAGCTAAAGTTCCAAAGGATACATTCAATCTTACTAAAGGGGTACCAAAGGAGCATGTCGCAGATAACGGATCTGGAGCTCTGATTCATCGAGAATTTTGTCAAAATTGCGGTAGCTTCATCCTGGAATATGGGGTATGTCAGCATTATACAACGGGTACGGAGGTTTTCTAACAAAGGGAATCAGGATGCTGCCAAAGACTATTTTCGCTACATCTGTGTCGGATCCTTGGACGACCCAGAAGCATTGCCCCCAAAGGGGGAATTCTTCTGCAAGGCTCGGGCGAGCTGGATGCCGGAGATTCCGAGTGAGTTTAATATGCTGATACTCTGGCTCTTTTTATATCTGACAAATATACCTAGATGTATTCCACAAGCAGATGATAAAGGAGTAATGAGTCACAAATGAATGAATGTTGCTCGGTTTGTCCAATATGTAGTATCAATAATATATATCATATACCATCCACTGTCACGCTTTTCAAAACAATGTCCGGGGCCAGCAGTTTCTCTCGAATGGAGATCGCATTCAAGAAGTCATTGCTATCCACCCGGCGATATCCATCCTCCAGCGTCTTCTCAATACCTGCCCGTAGGTGTCGCTCAGCCAATCGGCACCTTGCTTCTAGCGGATCGGAGTCGACGAAGACGCGATAATCGACAAGCTCAGCAAGCTCACGCCAGCCGGGATCATCGAGAAGTAGATAGTTTCCCTCGATGATAATGATCTCTACATCCGGCGTGATAGAAATCCCATTCTCCACAGGGTCTTTCGCTTCGTGATCGAATGTCGGTGCGCGAATGACATCCTCTGACGACCAGGTTCCAGAATAGGGAGCTGCTAACGGTTTCTCGTCGGCCCAGGTTCGCAGACGAGAGACAAAGGCTACAAAGCGGCTCACGTCGAACGTCCATGGAGCTCCACGACGGATATGTGCCTCTTTGGGGTTCGGCAGCTGATCCAAAGCTGCCCGAGAAAGGTGAAAGCCATCCATAGAGAGTAGGACGGCACGTGAATTCGAGCTCTGATTCAACTGTTGCACTACTGCCTCGGCTGTGGTTGTCTTCCCTGAACCGGGGATGCCGGCGATGGCAACTAGGTAGCGTGGTTCGGGATGAGCGTTGGCCTGGTTCCGGATAGCATCCGCGAGTCGCCGGTACTCCGATTCCATCTGTGTGCTGAGGTTAGATTGGCCACTTTGAGGGTCTATATAGGATTTTACCTCGAATCAATCACACATGGATATAACGTATAGTGACGCAAACTGCCTCAACCACGGCTGGTGACAATAATCAACGACTCATACTGCACAAAAGGCAAAGAGCAATTCAGCAGCTATCCGGGTATTCCTCGAAGGGTCTAAGAAAAGTGCAGGCCCAAGTTATGTGGAAGTTGGTGGAGCGGGTATCGGGTCACAGTGTTCCGAACACAGCTCTGGGTGTTGCGCTGTTGTGCCGACTCGGCGTTCGTCGCAAGTTTTATTGTGGGGTAAGTAAAAATAAAAAGGTGGGGGAGATTGGAGGTGTTGAGGGTTGATTTAGACGACTTTGATGCCAAATCATTCATTCTCCGACGTTACACCCAGCTTGCACTCTATGAAATTCAAAAGAACCTCACTTAATTTTAGTGAAATGAGACTGGAATATAACTTGAGCCTTAGAATGTGTATTTCAAAAGAAAAATAATATGTGGAAATGCAAAAATACTTCTAAGTACATATAGGAGTTTGATAGCCTCGAGACGTTAGGCCTACAACCACCTATCATCCATATATATCCTCGGAAAAAAAGAATAAGAGCGAAGAGAACAATAATTATAGTCACGCCGTCGTGTCCTTGATCAACCTGGAACCCGTTTCCACTTCACTGAAAGTTGCCTTCCGAATACTTTTCTGTTTCTTCTGTTTCGGGTCCACGTAGAAGCACAAGAGCTGCTGTGACCAACAATGAGAGCACTGAGGTCGTGTATGATCACAGGTAGTATGTTGTTCACGACAGGCCTTACAGTCCCCATGATTCAGCTGGTATGGCTTTTGCAAATCTGGGGAAGCGCCTTCGAATGCCGTACCCCGCCATCCAGACCATAACCACTGGGAGACGCGACCGCAAAGTCCACCCTCCATCTGCTCGTATGTAGGCAGATCACGAGGGATCTGTTCTCTGTAGTCCTGTCAGCCTTCATCCAACCTTTGAATAACCATGAGAGCTCTAACCGGTGTCCACGTTCTCCTTTTGCTAAAACATTCATTGCAAATTTTGTTCATGGCAAAGTGGAAGTGATGAACTAGAAAGAAAAACCGGAATACGAGAGATGTATCCAAGGCAGGGCATATGCCCCGTTCAGGCACTCGGACCTCCTGCAGCAGCAAATAAGAAATCACCGCACTTCGGGCGTCATATCAGGCAGCTGCAGATGCAAGTCATGGGGTTGAGGGAAGCTAGCATGTCCTTAGGGGTTTCTTTAAGACATATTTTCGTATCCGATCACGTTATCTCAACCAGAGTAAATGTTCAGAGTTGTACAGTTCGGAATCACGTTCCACGGGACGCTGGGATTACTATATAGAACCGTCGAAACGTCATAATAACTTCAGTGAACCAGAAAAAATGCGGCTAACAAAAAGGCAACGTTAAGCAAGGTTGTTCACTATATCAGCCAACATGGTTCGGATAAGCGACGTGATCAAAGATGATCACCGGAAACTCGAATCTTATTACAATATCATTGTCAACTCTGAAGATCAAGATGAACAAACCCGATATCAGAACCAGTTCACCTGGGAGCTTGCACGACACGCCGTCGCCGAGGAGCTGGTAGTGTTCCCTGCACTGGAAAAGCTTCGAGCTGGCAAGGAGCAGCTAGATGATGATCGGCGTGAACATAAAGCGGTAAGTGTTGATATCCTTCATGAAGAGCGATGCTGATATGACATAGCTCAAAGAAATGCTCAACGTTTTCCAGGATCTAAACTCCTCTGATCCACGCTTCTTCCCTACAATTACGTTGTTGATGGAAGGTCTTGCCCAGCATATGAAAGACGAAGAGGCCAATGAACTGGCCATATTAGAGGAGTCCCTCACTTCCGATGAGAGCGAGAAGTTAGCTGAATCTCTGAGCCGCACTAAGATTTTTGTGCCCTCTCGCTCGCATCCACATGATCTAGACAACCCACGCTATGAGACTGCAGTCGACCTGCTCACAGCTCCCCTGGATCATCTCCAGGATTTATTCCGAAGGTGGCCGGAGGAAGAAAGCACTCTGACCGCGCCAATGGAGTAGACGAAAAAAATAGAGTTATAGAACATAGATATTTCATTTCTTTTGCCTTACTTGCCCTACGAAGAAGCTTATTTATAGCCTGCAGAATATGCAAATGCGTGAACGTAATTCAATTTCTATCCTGGATGATGTCTCTCCACCTAGTCATCCTCGCTTTCACTATTATGGTGATACAGGTGCAGCTCTGGAAAAATATTGTCAGCAATCGACTTGGTATTGTACATGAGTATCACTTACTTTTCCACGCCAACTAGACCACTCGAGTCTGTACTCTGGTCCGGAGCCTGATCAAGGTAATGTCGAGGTGCGTCCCCGTCAAGCTCATCATTGAGTAGGTCTAATGCATTATCCTTGGACTTTCTGGATACTTTAGGATTATTAAGAGCACTGGAAAGTATTAATAATCGCTATATGATGGAAATCAGAACATCCAAGCTTACGCTGAATAGCCACGTCTCGCGTTCACTTCTTCCTCGATAGATAAATTGACATCTTTGGCTTCCCCCAAGCTTGACATCATGGACTTAGGTATCTGAACCTACAAAGATAAAATCAGGATTCTGATAAGATCATTAAAATATCGGAGGCCATAGCGGCAGAAAAGCCCGGGTTAATAACGTCACATCATCATCATAGCTGGGCAATAGGTACTAAAAGTATCGGAAATGCCCCGAGCACATAGTTCCGACCACCAATAATATCTGCAACACTATCTCGAGATTATTAAGGAAGTTGCTCCTCCTACGGAAAAGTCTTGAAGACGATAAGGGCATGTTCATTACTCCGTAAAGGACCTTTATATATATAGCGGGTCCGGGGAATCCGAGTATGCGACGATGTAAAACCACAAAAACAGTCAAGAACTCAAAGAATACGATTTGAACATATCTTGGAAGAGTCAGATAAGCATTCCACCTTCAAGAAAGGACCAACATTGGTGGACGAGAAATGCCAGCACATCACCCGTCACATATATATATCGGTCAACCATGGCGGCCTGACTAGGGGTCTAGACTCGGCTGCGAGAAGAAAGATTTAATCTGCACTGAAATAAGGCTTTTCCATATAACACCTTTTGACTGCATTATCGTAGGCATTATCGTGGGGATGTAACAATTAACAAAACCGAAGTGAGGACTATCTTGTGCTTATGTACCTTTTGTATAGCACTGACATACAAAAGATACCTAATCTTATAGTTTGCTATCCGGTGCCCTACGCCCACCAATACCAATACTGGGTAGGTGTTGGAGGATTGCCACGATCATCACCGTCTATTCCTAGAATATATACCCCAGCATAAACGATGGTAGATAATTCCCCGATTTGCTTTGTTGCCGACATTCCTCGGCTTCGGGAATGTTACGTCTCTTCAATGTTTAATATTATGTGGCTTATCGAAATTAGCAGGACAAGGATATATTCTGATTAGCTGAACAAAGACAAACAAAGGACAGTCTAGACTTACAAGAGAACCTACACATAAGCGCCCAACGGCAGCTAAGTGGATATGTAGATCGAAAGAGGCAAGGTGGAGAGCCGGCAACTCCGATCATAACATCGCACATTTTGATCCTGATTTTGACGTGGAATGTGCCGATGAAGAAGGAATGAGGAGGGATCGAGCTGTGAATTACTATCTCGATGCTTTTCTTTGTCTCCTCTCTTTATTCTCCTCTTCAAATGCAAAGATTCTCCTGTTTCACCGCTTGTTTTGGGTTGCCCCTTGGTGGACTCTAGTGGTTTCAGATTGAGAAAAAGTGACTCCTAACCGCTGTGACAGCGACCAGTCGATCCCCTTTCTGTTATTCGGCCTATTACTCTGAAGAATGGATCATCATGAGTGGACTTGGCCTCCTGGACTAGAGCGCCACGGGGTTTGTTGACTCCGGAGTTGCAGCCTATTACAGAAGGTCTCAGGCACTGGCGCATTGTCACTGGATGGACAAGATTGATCTCCAGTTTTTTAGCATAAAGCAATATGGGCGTGTGCGGCTGGTGAAAGGTATTTGGGCCAAATATTTCCCACTTTTGCTGCGTTGTACGTTGGACACGCTCACATTCTTTTCTCCTTGACAATCTTTGACAATCTGGAATTGTCGGTCTTTCTTTTAGTCTCTCTTTTTATCAATCTCACTCTCGCTCATTTTATTCTCGTTGCTTTCTGGATTATCTCAAGCATCTGGTCTTGTTATACGCCTCCAACATGGTTTCTTCAACCCTTTCATTGAGCGCTGGATCGCTGATGCTCGCATTGATATCTTCCCCCGTGGCCGCCACGAGTTACTCCCTGGTGGAGACTTGGCAGGGGAACAATTTCCTGGACTATTTCAATTTTCACGTTGGTTCAGACCCGACCAATGGCTTCGTCAACTACCTCGACAAGGAGACCGCCGAAAGTTCAGGGCTCGTCAAGGTCACCGATAGTGGCAGTGTATATCTCGGTGTCGATTATGCTACCAAGCTAAACCCCAACGGCAACACGGGCCGTGACTCAGTACGTATTGGCAGCAAGAAATACTACGACCAGTCGCTGGTTATCGCCGATATCGCCCACATGCCCGGTAGCGTCTGCGGTACCTGGCCTGCCTTTTGGTCTGTCGGGAAGAACTGGCCTGCAGACGGCGAAATTGATATCATCGAAGGTGTCAACTTGCAGGATTACAACGAAATCGTCATGCACACAGCCGGCACTTGCAGTTTGACAGATACGGATATGACCGGTTCGGTCAACGCTACGGGGTGTGGTGAGGATATAGGAACCATCGGTTGTAAGGTCGAGGGTCAGCAGGGCAGCTATGGCACATCTTTCAACAAACAAAACGGTGGTGTGTACTCGCTGCAGTGGACCGACGATTTCCTCAAGATTTGGTACTTCCCTCGCAGCTCGATCCCGGCCTCAATTACTAGCGGCAACCCCGATGTAACGGAATTTGGCACTCCTATGGCCGTGGTACAGGAGTCGTGCGACGTTGCCAACTCCTTCAAGGCCCAGTCGTTTGTATTTGATGTCACCTTCTGCGGAGACTGGGCAGGTGGTGTGTTTGGTAGTTCCGGTTGCCCCGTGACCGACAGCGATTCCTTCCAGAGCTGCCACAACTACGTCGCCAACAACCCGGCCCAGTTCAAGGAGACGTACTGGGAGATTAACTCGGTTAAGATCTATCAGACTGGAGTGAAGGGAGTTGCCTCGATTTCATCATCCGAGTCCGCGTCGGCTACCACTGCCGCTACTTCTGTGGTCTCGCAGACAACTACTGAGACCCACACTACTCATAGTGCCACCACTGTGCACTCAGTTGCTTCCAAGGAAACTCAAACCGCTGGCGCAGTTCAGGAACTGACTACTACTTCGGTTCCTATTGTCGCAGCTACTACCCAAAGCATTGCCACCGAAGCAGTCGCGCAACCTTCCACCAGCACTACTAGCACCGGCACTACGACCAGCATCGCCAGCAAGAAGACTCGGACTATCACCTCTATAGTCACTGCAACTGCGACCTTCTGCCCCGAGGCCGAGGAGTCCTCATCTATTGCCGCACAGTCCTCTGTTGCGACAACTGTCTCCGCCCCGGCTGTGCAATCCGTCCAAATCCCAGCCACCGCCCAAGCTACGGAGGCACGGACCTCTGCAGCTGCTGTGGTCCCTCCCTCCAGTGTCGCATACGTCCCAACTGCTCAGAGCCACACCAACTCGAAGCCTGCAGCTGTTCCTGTCGCTGCTACGTCCGTTGCAGCTGAACACACTTCCCTCCCCACTGAGACCTTCGGTGGATCATGGGCGTCTTCTGCTATTTCTTCTGTGGTTCCTTCTGCCATTGTTTCTAGCGTTCCATATGAGGCCTCCAAAGCCTCCAAAGCACAGGCCTCTGCCACTACCGAGGCCTCCCCGGAGACGACTACATCCGCTACATCTAGCTACTATGTTCCCACTGGGTCTGAATCTGGAGCCAGCCCTGTCTTCACCGGTGCTGGCTGTAAGTTGTCCATGAGCATCCCAGCTCTCTTTGTCGGACTCATTGTTGCGTTTTTGGCTTAAATATTTGTTCTAGATCGCGTTTGAAACTGGTCCAAATTTGGCAGATTTCATCTTTTTCATTGTACAGTACAGCAGGCCCTATAGATGGCCGTATCCTGCTTGGTTTTGTTTCGATTCAGTCTGTATTCAGTCTGCGTTTTGCCTCCGAGGCCGTCGTCTTACCTTTTGCACATTGCACAAAAGGAAGCATAAGTAGTTAATGAAGAATTGATTCCTCGAACTATCAGTGATCCAACAATATATACAGACACCCTTTAGCCCAAATTTAAATGCTTCACTCCCTAGACCGTCCACCTCGCTAACCAATCTTGAGCATAGCATCTCAGAATTCCATCATCAATAATTCTCAGTCGGCCATTCCGCAAAGTCACACTACTCCTCTCTGCTTTGTCCGTAATAAACCTCTTGAGACTGTTCTGCATGAAAGAATCCTTCCCATGCATCGTCTCGTAATGATGAATGAGCTTGACCGCCGGATTGACAAGTTCCTCACCCTTTGTCTCACTCCGACGAAGTCTCAGCAACCACTCTTCAAAAGGCACGACATCAAACCGGAACCCAGAATCCTTCAGCGTATGAAGCAAAGATGACCAGGTGAATTCGCGAGAATTACACAGATTGAAAATCGAGTCATCAACGTACTCCACCACAGCTGAGCTGGACGCATGACTTTCCCCAAACTCACTCGGCGTAGCACAAGTTCTGGCTAGTTCAAGAATACTGGACGCAAGCTTATCCACCGGCAGCCAAGAACATGTCTGAGATAGCTCAGGCAATGCGCCCACTGTCAGCGCCGACCGGATCATCAGCGGCAGGGCTTCGGAGTCATTCCACAGGCCCTTCTTCGAGTGGCCCGAGATCTGGCCAATCCGAAGTGAATAAGCCCTCGCCCCACTCCGCCGCGCGTTACTCACAATCCGCTCCCCAACCACTTTGGACTGCCCGTAACCCATAAAGGCGCAATTCAAATCGACTGGTTCTTCGGGGATTTCGGCTGCTCGGGAACCGAGCGCGGTGGAGACTGACGAGCAGAACATCATGACGGCAGGCTCGCGTCTCTGAACCGACAGGGAGAATTGGATCAGATTGTATAGTCCCTGGATGTGCGGCTCGAACTCGGTCAGAGGGAGATTGAAGTTGACAGGCCATGCTGTGTGGATAATGAGCGAGACTGAATCCAGCATGTGGTTGATTGTACTTTCGTCCAGAGATAAACCGAAATCGGGTTGGTCAATGCGGCTATCGAAGGCGACAATCTTCATTCTCTGTTCCTGGGATATGAGAAGATCTTTGTCGGTTAGAGTGCGGAGTATTGCTTCCAGTGGCGATTCTCGCCGTGTGAGACAGTACACCGTCGAGATGGAGTCGTCGTTAAGCAGCTCATACAACACGTGGGCCCCAATCGACCCGGTGGCTCCTGTCAAAAGCTTGGCTATGTTAGCTTCTGAATCTGAATCGCGACAGCAAGATAAAATAGA